GCAATCATCCAGGTAAGGAAATCCCCGAAGTTGATTCTGTTCATCTGGACGTAGCGTTTTCAGTGGGACAAACGTTTCGTAACTCATCCCAGAGACTTCTTCAGTCTCAGCTGACTGCAGGTTTCGCCAATCTTATAAACACTTGCATAATTTTTGCATAATGAATGAACAATGGGCTGTGAGGTCAGTTCCTTGATCATTAGTATGCAAAGTGTCATGAACACTGATCACTAAATCCACTATTGGAGTGTACATTGTTCCTGAATGCATCACATTTACTTCTCCACATTTTGTACCAGAAGATTTACCAGCCTTTAGAAGACAGTGGTCCCGAACCAGAAATGGTAAAGTCGCTGTGTATAAGAGCAAGGATATTTTATAGGGTCTATCTGACAATATAAATGGTACTTGATTAAATATTAACAGCAGTACTAGGTAGCAGCCTGACCATTGATTCAGATTGAATACATAATTTTCTCTGGGAGCAGGCCTGTCGTCTGGAACATGCTTTGTATTTACAGCATGGAGGGCATCCGGGTGGGTCTTTATAAATTGCTTCCAAGTAGTCTTAAGATGACACTTTTCATTTCCCAGTGCCAACACTTCTCATAAGCCTTCACCCTTATGTACTTCTGCTCTGTGCTCACTTGACAAGTTGTTTCAGATAGTGGTCCGTCTTGGTAGTGATGGTGAGATGAAGCCTTGTGATGAACTGAAGCTTTCCATCCAACTGGTCGACTCATGGTTCGAAGCATTGTGATCATTCATTTGGAATTCATGACGACGTTTATGTGAAGCGTAGTTTGAATCTTTGTTTGCTGCTGGTTCGGTCAATATTGTTTGGAGAGAGATCAAACGGCTTTAGAATCGGTGCAAAAAGGGCGTAAACACAAAGCGCGGACCCGCCGAAACATCAGAATCAGCGAGCTGTCGGCTTTCAGTCCCGACCGTGTCCATGTCCACGTACGAGCTGTCGGGTGAGAAAGACGACATCTCACTGCTTCTGATCCGTCGGAGGCTCTGTGCTTTGTGTTTATGTCTTTGTGCAGAATCCGTGTTCCTGCTCTCATTTACTGCTTTAGCTGTTTGGTGGTTGTTGAAATTTTGTGAGGTTTAACCTGAGATTCTGGCATTTCGGGCAAAATACATTTATATAAAAAAAATTGATTCAGGATTTTAATGAATCGATATGACGTTATCCAAGAATCTATTTTAATCGATCATCAAAGCCCACCCCTAGTAACTGTGTAATGCTTATGTACATCTGGATAATGACACAAACTAGTGTGTGGCGCTTCACTTTTTAAAAAACTAAAAGACAGAAATCAGATTATAGGATCTGTAGTGTTGTTTATTTATATTATGGTTCTTATCATTCGTGATATTTATTACTGTGTGCATACTTTATTAGAAGAGATGAGATTAAAAAAAAATCTCTTCCTTCTTCCAATCAGCTGTGTTTTGTTGCCCATTTTATTTCGAATCTGGCGCGAACCGGCGAGCCAGTTACTGAATCAGTCACTGCATACGTAATCAAAGCGAGCCTCGATACGCGCTTCACAAAAACTCGCCGAGATTACCCGACACAGGTAGTGATGGTAAATTTGATACTTTTTACTGAATCGAGTTTTAATGAGTCACTCACCAAAGTGAATCGGCTTTTTTGAGTCATTTGATTCACTGAGTCAGTTGACCAGAGAGTGCAAAAAAATGTACATTTTCACTCAAACTTAATTTGTTTCTCTTTTCATGTAAATCCCACTGCTAAGATGAATGATTCTAAAAACAACTATTTTATAGAGCAGAAAAAGAGTAGAAAAATTTCTAAAATTAAGCAATTTCCTATCAAAATTGCTTAATAAACTTTTATTTTGTTTATTTTTATTTTATTAGTATTTTCCTTAAATGTGTTAATATATATTTTCTCATCTAAATGTCCACTGAAATGTGAGCCTGGGGGCGGTAATGCGCTTTAACATTGGTTAAAGCGCATTGAGTAGAAGCTCAACATTGGTTGAGCTTCTACTCAAGGTCTTTTCTTCCAGTTCAGAGCAGAAATGTTTTTGTTAAGATACTGGATGTTGTGTTTTTCTCCACAATTTTAATTATAAGCTAGATACATTGCTGCTAACAGCAACAGGGATGAGTCAGTTGTACTTGTGAATCATGATTCATGAGTCAGTAAAGTGATTTTCCAGTATTGAACGATTCGTTCATGATTCGCGCATCACTAGTGATGATGTAATGTGATGTATCAAATGTGATACACTAAGTATCACAGGGTTGAAAAAATAAAGTCTCAGTTCTTCACTTACATATACATTATGACAGAAATCTTTATTGGCATGCGACCACTGTTTTTTAATTAAGACATTTACAGAAATTCACATTTTCATTCAAATCAATTGTGCAAATATCAGCAAATTACAAACATATATCAATCGAAAAAGGCGTTTTTGAAATTTTTTAAATGGGAAACATTTCAGTGTTAAACATTAGGCCAGAAAAACGTCAGAGCGTGACGTCCCCCCTCTATAGAGGTCTGCATCAGCAGTTTAGATGGTGAACCTGATCTGTGTTTAGCTGTGTTGTGATCATAGTGATCATAATACTGTCAGAGTATTGGCCAAAAATGTTTTCTAGACTAAACAACATAAAAAACTAAGCGCTAAAAACTAATAATTAACATTATTTTAGCTGTTAGCTTACACACACAAACTAACAGCTGTGGCTGTTTTGAAACCTTTGTCTAAACTGACAGTTGGTCACATTTTCACTGGGATGTTTTCACTTCAGGTAAGAATAAAACTGGAGACAATTCTTGAAAGAAAAGGAATCAATTGAAGCATAAACACATTCAGCACATCCTTTAAACACAACAGATTGTCAAAGGCAAGACTGCTGATTTACAAACGTTGTTTTCAAGAGTTCTCAGTGATGGTCCTTCATCAAACATCTTTGAACAGACAAATATACTTATGGTCCATTTCCCCACCTCTAATAATACTGATACAGCATGTTTAGTTTATCACTTGTTTCGTAGACTAAACAAGTTGAACTAGTAATTTAGACCTTGTCCACCAGGGGTCAGCATTTTTCAAATCACAGCAGCGTCTGATCTGAGCTGACTGCATACAGAGACTGTTGGTGAAAACAGCCTAATGGTTAACTCTACGTCACTATGTTTTTACTTTGTTCTTCATCGGGTAGTAAAATAAGGTTTCTCTTTGTTGTGACTCTGAACAAAACAGAGTCCATCCTGGTTTGTGACGACGATACAAAGGCACGTTTAGGTAGCTGTATATTGTAATACACAGAAAAAGAAGGCTCATGTGATTATTGCTGTTCTATCCAACTGTCCTGCGGATGATTGATGAATCCTTTCTTAACTTCCTGATTATTAAATTTAGTACAATTAATGAATCAATGTAATATTACATTACAGCGTCCCACAAAAAAGTAATGTGATTATAGTGTTACTAGCTGATATGGAATTGGATTATTTAAAATCAGAAAACAAAGGTTAACTATGTATTAGAAACGTTGGCAATGATGAGGTAAACTCAGCTGATGACATGAACAAAGGTTATAGATGAGGCTCGGCTTCATTACACAGTCACCTGCAAAATAAAAAGTCAGTAAGACACCAATTCGTCCTCAGAATAAGAAGGTCAGAAAGCCATTCATGTCTAATCTACAGTAGCTGTTACATCATATCAAGTAGAAAAATTATTTCGATTTTTTTAATCTATTTATAGGATCCGTTAGTTTAGTATTCATTTTTCTGTAACCACAATGAATTAGTTTATTTCCTGTTTCATTAAGTTGTTTGTTTCTTGTTATATTTGTTATATATTTTTAATGTTTTTGTACTTCACTGATGTTTTTGGTGCTTTCTTTTCACCCTATTGTAAAAAACCCTGAGAGTTTCATTGTCTTGATGCTTGCTCAATCATCCAGGTAAGTAAATCTCCAAAAGTTGATTCTGCACGTAGCGTTTTGTGGGAGCAGACGTGCACCAGAAACCTACACATATGGCTCAGTATTTAGGGTTTGACTCTCGTCATCCACTGGAGCACAAACTGGGTGTCATCAGTAACATAGTTCCCGAGTTCCTTCATCTAAACTCTCTGCTTAAGATTAAGGAACTGACCTCCCAGGCCTTTGTTCCTTCAGTGGGCTGATTTCAGTCATTATGCAAATGTACTGTTTATAAGATTGAAACCTGCAGTCAGCTGAGACTGAAGAAGTCACTTGGATGAGTGACGAAACGTTTCTCCCACAAAACGCTACGTCCAGATGAACAGAATCAGCTTTCTTTTTTTTTTACTTGAACAGAAGTACCAGCTGTTCAATATTTATCAGCTCAAAGTGTGACATGAACAGATTAGTTTCTCTCATGATGGCAGAACGATGCAGACAGACCAGCACAAACAAACGCCACTCTATGGTGTGTAGACACTGCAGTGATTCAACCCTGGACTATAAACAACTCAAAGTCAAACAAAGTAATTAAAGTGTAGCACAGACCTCCTGATGGAGATTAGGGCAGCGATCGACAGGCCGATCAATACCAGTCCAAACATAACAGCTGTAGTAATGACTGCAGTGTTGGAGCGAGCCCCTGTGGAAAAATGTGTAATGAAAGTACAGTTAAAGAATGTACATGATCTTTATAAGTATAAACACAGCTGACTTAATACTTCATACTAGTTTGCGCACCAGAATATTACTGTAATCCCGACAGGCTTGTTTTACTGCTGAATTATTCAAAAACTGAAGTGTATAATGACTAAGTGACAGTAAAACTTGCTGCTGCATCGGATTAGTTATGTTTTCTATTTTGGTTCAACTGACAGATTCACTTCCTCAATAAGCTTTAACTCGTTAACTGAACCATGAAGAGAGAAACCTGTAAAAAAGTCCATTTCCCCTCCAATTGTTCTCCTCACAGTCGCTCACATGTCTTATTTTAGGAAATTATGAGTAAAGCTCACGTGCAGTAATAACACGAGA